TAGCTCTACCAACCTCAGCAACCTTACCAACCTCATCAACTCTACCAGCCTCACCAACCTTATCAACTTCGTTAACTCTACCAACCTCACCAGCCTTATCAACCTCATCAACTCTACCAACATCACCAACCTTCTCAGCCTCATGAACTCTATCAACCTAACCAACCTCATCAACTCTACCAACCTCACCTGACTTATCAACCTCATCAACTCTACCAACCTCACCAACCTTACCAACCTCATCAGCCTTACCAGCCTTGCGAGCTTTACCAAGCTCACTAAGCTCACCAACCTTACCAAGCTCACCAAAATTACCAACCTGACCAACTTTGCCCACTTCACCACGATGATCAGCAACACAGTTGGTAACAGGCTGGAGGAAAAAACCTTGCCAATGAGGTCAACAGTGACATGCCAACCCTTAACCCCACAGTAAAGCGGTATGCCATCATGAAATAAGCTAAAGGGATCTGACCGACTTGAGCTGCAGTTCCAACAAACAAATCGACCCAATATCAACATTCTGGCCATTCACCGCAGGCTTGCCAGCCAGGCTGACCTGGTTGACAAAACTAACTTAAATGAGCTGACCCTTCTGTTAAGCTGACAAACCCTATCTACCTGACCAACCAGACTAAACAGCCTTCGTTTATCAATAAAGTTGGTACTGTTTATATAATTTGTCGCAATGACTGTGCAATTGCATGGGTGTTTGATTTTAAATTTGCGATTTTCTTTGATTTCTGGACCTGGGGAAGTTTCATCCAAAGGACTTGAAAACTGATCAAAATAATGAAAAGGACGAGGGATGTCGATCAACAAACTAATCTTGGGAGGAAAACGTGGACTGTGATCAACTTGGTGATTCACCTGAGCCAGGAAATGAGGTAAAATCTTTGGTAACAATAGAGTGCTGCTCGTCTATGATAACGAAGAAAAGATTGTTTATCGTAATTTGCATTCCTCGGCCTTAAACGGAGGTTCTTGTGCCAAGGCTACTTAGTGGTCATTTCTCGGTGATAATGCTTGAATTCTCATTCTTACTTGATGGCAAACCCATGTGCTTCCTCTAACCAGACCTACGGATTAAATGTTATTCCTTTCTCCTAGGAATGTGAGGATGTTGAAATGGATTGTGATCCGCTTGAGGGTGAACTCATAGTATTGAAGGAGGTAAATATATATACCACTGCGGACGACATTCTATGATTTTCCTAATACGTTTTGAAATGGTATTCAGTTTGGAAGAGGAAGCTATCTTCTTTGTACAAGTAACTGTGACTAGTCATAGCGTATTATCTACCAATGGAATCATGGAAGCATGGCTAACGTTATATAACATGTTTTCTTTGTTCTCGCCAAAATGACTTCCAGTTTTAAAGATTTTGTCCGCTAGTGTTTATGCTTACTGTGAAGCCAGTCAACATGTTATCGTTGTGTCATTTTTAAGTAAGTGGCTTTTCGTAAAGCGACCGACGCCTTGAGGTGGACAACTACCCAGAAACGGTATGCACTTTTTGGGTGCTTTTACTTTGGATTGAGGAAGTAAAGGCCTTGTAAAGTTACGCTGGAGTAGTTAACGAACAGAAATGTTTTCGCTGAATTGACTTTTAGTGAAGTTTCATGCCAACGTTTTTAGTTTCACACTGTCTAGTGTGTCGAAAAGTTTAGGTTTTGTGACTTTGTCCTAACAAAGAAACTAGTTAGACAGGTGCCTTCAAAACTTGGACTTCGTAAAAACGTCATCCCAATAAATTCTTAATTATCAAAACGATATGACTTTAGTCAGCAACTGCGCCCAGTCTGTTTTGGTCTCTTACTGAACGGAGAATTTGTAAACTTCTATTAAAAAGTAATTGTGTTTAGAGGGAAAGAATTGTTTGTTGTAGCTGTTTTTAATTGCCTTGTCTTGTACTTATTTCTTGCTTTTTTCTTCATTAGTGTGAGTCTGTGCAAACGTAACGCGTGATAATGTGTTTACTTTCATAGGGCCTCACCAGCGAATCATTGCATATTCATGTGGTGTCTTGCAGCCATTCAGAAGGCCTTCAGCACTCTATGGATGGCGTTAACCACCATTTTCACAAAAGGAGCAGATAAAAACGAGAACAGCCAAGTTTAATGCCAATGTCATCATGAAGGAAAGTGTATGTGTATGAGGAACTTTGAGAGAAGACTTACCTTGAAAATATGCTACCCCAGTCGAAAGAAATGAGAGATTGTGGAGAGAAAGTGGACGTAAAAAAAGGCCATCACGCGTCGAGCTTCAGGAAAGTAAACAGTTTTGAAGGAACAATGGAAGGAGGATGACGCAGAACGAGTCGGGATTCAAACAGATGGGTGATCATGACGAGAAGATAGAACAGAAGGTAGCCCAGTACGACTCGGCGATGAATGAGGTGAGGAAAAGTTCAGAGAAGACGGAGAAGCAAGTGACGCAATTAGACCCTCAGTTAAATGATTTAGGTTACCTTGGAGAGACGATAAATAAGGAAATTACCAAGCGCGATTGGCAAGATAAAGACATGGAAAATCGTGTAGAGAAGATTAAGAAAATGGCCCAGCCTGATTTGCTGTTACAAGAGATGAATGATCGTGGAGGGATGAAGAGGAGTAAAACTGACCAATTTGACTCGCAACTGCATCAGATGGATAGCGTTGGAGAGAAGACTAAGAAGGAAAGGATCCTTTACGACCCCCAGTTGGAACAGATGGGTAATCTTGAAGAGATCGTGAAGAAAAAAACTCCCCAACCCGACTTGCGCTTGCACTTAATGGATAATCGTGGAAAGATCGTAAAGAGGAAAAATGCCCAATTCGACTTGCAATTTAAAGAGAATGGTGATCTTGAGGGGATGATAACGAAGAAAATGGCTCACCGCGATTTGCAGCCAAAGAAAATGGATTATCCTGAAGAGACGATGGAGGAAATGGCCCATCGTGATTCGCCGTTACACGATGGCAACTCGCACGTGTACAAGATGGATTATCATAGAAAAATCGTAAAGCAGAAAACTACCCAATTCGACTCATAATTGCTAGAGATCGATGAATGAATGAAAGCCTTTATTTAAAGAGGGTACCACTTAATAGCCAGCGGCTAATAAACTTGTGGCCCTCACAGACTACACAACTATAGAAAATCAGATAAATATGTAAGCTAAAATATGTAAACATTTTAAATAAGCATTTAAAATAATAAAAGATTCAATTAAGAAGATGTTATTAAATAGTAAAATGATGTAAACATTGTTGTACCTTAAAAATCTTGGCAAACATGTTCTTTTTAAAACATGCTATAGAATCTAGTTTCCTAATTTCAATAGGTATACTATTCCACAGTCTTGTAGCCGAAACAGCGAAAGAGCGTCCTCCCTCTGATTCTCTTTTGTATTTAGGACAAACAGCATTAATGCTTGAATATCTAGTGTTGCGGGAGTGCCGCTTATTATTCAAAATTAAGTGTTCATTTAGATAATTCGGCAAACGCCCATTAATTCGCTTATACATCATTATGCATTTATCTATCTTATGTTGCTCATAAAACGAAATCCAACCTAGGTTGTTAAACAAAGCAACTGATGGTGTCGTGCGATCGGCTAAAGAAATAGCTTGTGCCGCACGTTTTTGCAATCTTAAGACCCTATAAACCGACTCTTTGTCGCAATTTTCCCAAACCACGTTAGCGTAAGACATAACAGGGCGAATAATGCTTTTATAAAACTGAAGTCGCTGTTTAAGAGATAAACCGACTCTTTGTCGCAATTTTCCCAAACCACGTTAGCGTAAGACATAACAGGGCGAATAATGCTATTATAAAACTGAAGTCGCTGTTTAAGAGGTAAACAGGCTCCAATCTTACGCAGTATTGCGATTCTAGAGGACATCTTTTTACATACTTTCTCAATATGTTCATTAAATGACAATTTGCTGTCAATTCCTACTCCTAATAAAGTAGCACAATCCACATTATTGAGCTGTTTTCCGTTTACAGCAACAACTATGTCACTTCCATTTATGTCAGCCACACATCTTTTCCCAGTGATCGTGAGTACTTTAGTCTTGTCTTCATTTAATGGGAGCCTATTTGCTGAAGCCTATAATTGAATTTCAGAGACAGACTTATTTAGTGATGAACTTAAGTTGGCTAAGATTTGCACATCCGCAAAAGCGTTGACAGTCGTATCGTCTGCGTAAAGGTCCAACTGAACACTTGTATACAAGGAAAAATCGTTAATAAACAAAATGAAAAATAAAGGACCTAAAATACTGCCCTGAGGGACTCCATGCAACATCAAAGCTTCGTTTGACTCACTCCCATTTACAAGGACAATTTGCTTCCGATCCGACAAATAAGAGTGACACCAGGCAAGCTCCCGGTTGACTATACCATACAGCTCCAACTTGCGCAACAATAGCTTATGGTCCACCATGTCGAAAGCCTTTCGATAATCGACCAGGACCATGCCGTATACATGATTGTTATCTAAGCCGAACAAAAGCTCGTCAACTACCTTAATTAGAGCAGTATACTGTACAGGACAGTATACTGTACTGTATACTGTATACTGTATACAGTACTGTGTACTGTATACTGTGTACTGTATACAGTATACTGTACAGTAGGACAGTATACTGTACTGTCGGTACTGTACATCCCACGAAACCCAGACTGTCTAGAATACAACAAGTTATTATCCATAAGAAAAGCATATAAAGAGTTGTGCATATGACGTTTGATTACTTTTGAGACCACTGGTAGCACAGAAATCGGGCGATAATTAGACGGGTCACTGGCTGCACCCTGTTTGAACAGTGGTGTCACGTTAGCGGTTTTCCAACGAGTAGGAAACGTTCCTGTGGAAAATGATATGTTGATAAGCCTTGCTTGGAGCTAGAATAGGAGCCTTGTGAGGACTGATCCCCTTTATAATCTAGAGCACCTGAGCATTGGTTATGTCTGGAACAGAGATAATCCTAAAGAGCAGATGAAGAAGAAAATGGCCCAGCACGATTCACCAGTGAAAGACACAGATAATCGTGGAGTGATCTCCATGAACAAAATGGCCTTACACGACTCGCAACTGCAAGAGATGGATAATCTTCGAGAAAAGATGAGAAAGAAAACCGCCCAATCCGACTCGCAATTGCAAAAGATCAATAATTTTGAAGAGATGATGCTGAAGAACATGGCTCATTACTACACGCAATTTGACAAAATGAATGATCGTCTTGAGAAGTTGGAGAAAATGGCCCAGTACGATTTGCGAATGAAAGAAATGGAAATTCTTGGAGAGATGATAAAAAAGGAAATGGACCATTTCATCTCACAATTGGAAGAAATGGATATTCGTAGAGGAAATGTGGAAAGGAGAGTGGCAAAGCAAATGGAAGAATTGAATAATCGAGTAGAGAAGATGGAGACTGATATTATCCAGCATGATTCAAAATTTGACGAAATGGGCCGTTGAGAGAGAAGGATGGAGATCGAAATACGTACACAGGCAGAGAATACAGCCGTTCATCAGCATCACCTTACAGTTCTACAGCAGCACTTTGAAGATTTAAAAACTCGTATGTTAGATAAGTTAGATGGTCTGATTGTCGAAATGGATGCCTTATTCGCAGTTTGCTGTACCAGCTGGACTGTGACGTCATAAGTCATCTTTCCGTGCAACTACCTCTCTTATAGTGAAGAAAGGTCCTGCATAGCTACATAAGTTTTTTTGTGTTATTTTTAATTACTTTTTCTTTTCGGCAAGGCACAAACAGCGTAAACACTTCAATGCTATATTGCGTCAGCAATGATTGAGGTTTAGTGCTTTTTGCTCAAGCTATATGGCGTGCATTAATCAACCAACATATGTACGAAAATGTATCAAATATTACCATGTAAAAAAATCAGCAATGATGGTTTGTCTAGTAGGTCTATGTGAGTAAATAGTTCTTTGACTTAAGGGGTTAAAGCAGAGATGTAAGAATTAGAGGCGTGTAAATGCAGCTAAAAGACTACTCAAGGACTCAAATTGCAACTTGCAACCAGTTTTCATATTGTATAGTTAAGGCACATTGTACAGGAAAATGTAGAAGGGGTTTTTTTTAAGTATTTTCAAATGTCTAGCAATTATTGGAATTAATGGTTGTAATCATGGCGACCTTCAATTAGTTTATATATCAGTACTAATGTATTTGACTGTAAACTTAGTGGCAAGTGCGTCGACTCCATTAATATCTGCATTCATAATTCCGTTTCTCAGTTTAGGTTACTTTTTCAAGAAAAATAAACATTACTGTTAGTTGTGTTGACTTACTTTTTCAAGGAAAGGGAGAAAAAACGTTGATTTCTAATAAACTAATCTTTTTTTAGCAATAATTTCCATAAAATCCTCTACAATACAAAATATTAACAGCGTAAAAAATGATCAAAATAACTCACTTTCGGCTCACATCTATTCCTTTTTTTTATTGTAAAAGTGTCTGAAAAACTATAAATAACGGAGTCAAATCTGAACAGATTCAAAGTTTAATAATCTGATAAGTAAAAGCATATCTAAAACTATACAGAAAAGAGAGATTTGAATGGCAAATCTAGAACCCTATATACAAGGCTGCTAAAATCCATTAAACAATGTCAGTGGCTCCCTTGGCAGCTGCGATTTCAACGTCACAATTATTATAGTCATACGCAGCGCGGCGCTTCACCCGCAATCCTCGAAGGCAAACTAAGGCCGACCGAAGGAGGGCAAAGGATGTCTTTCTAATAAACTAGTCATAATAAAGAGTATGTCGTATTTACTTATAAAGAACTCAGTACAAACTAATTTATCGTTATTTATTCAAGAGAATCCTTATGCCCTGAGTTCTGATACACATGTTGAATGTGACAGCAGTATACTAACTCCCATGAACAAACTTGCAGTGCCTCTCCGTTTTTGTAGTAAGTAGGATGCTTGAAACTTTACTCACCGGGATTTGCAATTTTTTTTTAAGGAATTGTAGATTTGGCATGGGTCAATAGAGTCTAGCTGACAACACGTTTTTTCAAGCTGTACATGCCTTAATTAACAGTTTAAAAATCTGAAAACCTCAGACTAAAACGTCATTGTCCAAAATCTCTCTTTCCTTCAGCTTATCTAGGCTTACTTTGTCATGGTAAAAAATTTTGTTTTTCGGAGGCTGATGGCCAACACCAAGGAGACCCTCACGCCAAGTCTATGCCTAGCCAAAGACAAATAACTTCCTGCTTTGCTCTGGGTTGTTATCGCCTCGGAAACATGTACGATACCTAACGTGCTATTTTCTTATTATCTTCATTTCATCGGGATATTCAATGTGCGAGTTGACATTGGTAAGGTACATGTAACAGCTACTGTAAAACAGTCGTTAGGAATAGGATGTTAAACTTCCATTACTTCGATGACTGTTGTCGTCGATATTGATAGAACCATATTGACGACTTACCAAAATGTTGCTATCAGTAATCTTTAGGAGAAAGCGGGACCCAATCTCAACTTAACACGGCAGGTGATTTGAATAGAACTACATATCTATGGCTAAGGATAAGCATTCGTCGAAGGTTTATCCGTGCACCAATAACCTTGTGTTGTAATGCATTAAAGCAAAAGCAAATTTGTCCTCCTGATTGATTGAAAATGGTACAACATCATGCTTGTATAGTTTGCAACCGGGAAGTAGCATAACAAATGGGTTACATTTCTGTATTATTTGTTTGCAGGGATTTAATCGCGTTGTATTGAGCTATCAGGTATACAGACGTTTATTGAAACCAAATGTTTCTCAATTGCATACATGCAATTGCGTGGTTAAGTGAAACAGTGAGTTTGATGGTGTCGTGGTATTTGATAGTTGTTACTCAGGTTGATGGATCGTCTGGTTTGCGGAATAAGACGTCTGACATAATAGTGACGAACAAGATCAGATTTAAGTTTTAATGATGCTTCGAAAGTCACTTCTTACGCGTTCCCCTTAATCAAAAATGAGAAATACTTTGATTTTTATAATATGAATTATTGAGGATAAAGTGCCTATTTGATTAATATTTTAAAATTATACATGTTCCGGAACTGCGGGAACTGGGGTGAATGGAAGGTCATGAAAACCATCCTTCCTCAGCATGACTTTAAATTTGCATTGCATATTGCAACTAGGCGCATGCTAGACAAACGACAAGTTGGAATGTTGGATAAAAAGCTTCTTGTGAAATCATTGCCAGTTTGTTGTTGTTAAGAAGACAAGCAGTAATCCTTCCAGAAAATGCCTCATTTGCTTTAAATATAACGTAACCATCGCAATTTTATATAGTTCAATTGTTTTCTTCTGAAAACTGATAACCTCTGAGTTAAACCAATTTTCACATCGTTGAGGTTAAGATTGCAATAAATCATCAGTGACCCTACAGCTTGTCTAGATTTACAGGGTCAGTACAGTAAAACAAGAAGACGTTATTTCTAAGAAGGAAACTTGAGCTGGAGTGTCTTGGTAGCTTTTAAAACGAGAGAGAGTCGTTTGCAGCTCTGCAGTCAGCATAAAGAGATAAGTCTTCTACAGTTATAGACCAATCTTTGTAGAAGAAGGTTCAAGGCCCTGTGAAGGCTTTTCCATTTTACATCTATTATTTCTTCTAAACTCAGCTGACAAGCAATGCAGAAACGAGTAACATGGGTCTGTGTATTTGTGCTAAGGAGGGAGAATCTCAGTTAAGAAAAAAGGCTTTTCTCGCATGCTATCGAGCTTTGGAAAACTGACAGAGTCTTAGAGACCATTTGTCAGAACTGTTGAATAACCATAGAGAAAGACAACTATCACATCATATTCAGCTCTGTCACGGTGGGTGATTCTTATTTGCGATTTCGTAGTTGGTACATTTAATACAAGATTTCTCTGAGTCGTAGGCAAACTTGAACGTGTAAAATGCGGAGGTCGACCACAAACGTTTTTTTCACTTTATACAACAAACTTCCCGTTCACTCCGTACCTCGGCAAAGGCATGTTTCAGTAGGACCCAATCAATGAATAAAGTTAGGTTGATTTTAGAACTTCGATCGTCATGCTTCGTAGTACTTGAATCGAGATTGAGAAAACATCTTTGGGAGCCTTGCAAGCGACCCACTTTGGTGAAAACTGAGCAATCTCGTAAGAGCGAAGGTTGAATTGACTCCTTAGAATTAGAAAAAGGAAGTATAGGTCGTAAAATTTATCGTAATGATGCATTCGAATTGCATTATTCGTCGTTTTTCGATTTGCAAAAGCAATATTTTATATATTAAGTAAACCCTTGCCTGACTGATTTGTCGCCGTAACATGTGACAAATTTAAACTGACTGAAAAAAACCCTAATTTTACCCTTCAAAACAAGAGCACGACTTGGGTGTTGGACTCACAAGGGAAACGAATAACCAAAGCTTAATTAGGGGAATCCCCGCGTATTTTCTAACCGATCAAAATGCACGATCGTGACTTGCACCTTTTTTATTGTGCAAATAAAACTAAAAGGATCTAGAGTTTCGTTACAAGAGTATATTTGTATGGTAAAGAGTTCTTTCATACCAGCGAGTCGATCGCATCGTTGGACTTTCCCGCATGCGACTTTCCCGCATGCGACAATCTTTCCAAAGAACCATTAAAGATGATAAAGAAGAAAATGGCTCAGCACGATTCGCAACTGAAAAGAAAGGATAATCCTGAAGACACGATAGAGGAAACGTTAGACGATGACGACTCGTACGTGCACACGATGGATTATCGTAGAAAGATCGTGAAGCAGAAAACTAAAAGATCGACAATCCTGAGGAGCAGACGAAGAAAGAAAATGTCCCAGCGCGATTCGCAAGTAAAAGACACAGATAATCTTGGAGTGATGTTCATCAAAAAAATGGCCTCACACGACTCCCAATTGCAAGAGATGGATAATCTTAGGGAAAAGATGAAAAAGAACACTGCCCAAATCGACTCGCAATTGCAAAAGATCAATAATATTGGAGAGATGATGTTGAAGAAAATGGCTCATTGCCACTCACAATTGGACGAAATGAATGATCGTGTTGAAAATTTGGAGAAGAAAATGGCCCTGTACAATTTGCAAATGAAAGAAATGGAAAGTCTTGGAGAGCTGACTAAAAAAATGGCCCAGCACGATTTGCTATTCATAGAGATGGATAACCGTGCCGAGACGAGGGAGAAGCAAATATCCGAAGTGGACTCGATGGAGTGTCTTGTAGAGATGATAAGAAAGGAAATGGCTCATTTCATCTCACAATTAGAAGAAATGGATATTCGTGGGGGAAATGTGGAAAGGAAAGTGGAAAAGCAAATGGAAGAATTGAATAATCGAGTAGAGAAGATGGAGACTGATATGGTCCAACATGAATTCAAAATTTGACGAAATGGGTCGTCGAGAATGAAGGATGGAGACCGAAATACGTACAGAGGCAGAGAATACAGCCGTTCATCA